GTTTTTCTCCATGTTTTGGCTTTCCCTGGGAGCACAGGAGTGTCTGTGTGTCAGGAGGGCTGGGTGTCACAGTGTTGGATGGCAGTGCTTGTGAGGGCACCGGCAGGAAAGCAGGAGAGATCTCCACCCTGCTCTGGGGTCAGGCCAGGCTTGTTCATTACAACAATTCCTGGGAGGGTGGATTTTAAAACTTATTATTGTTTTCCAGTTTTCCCTTTGCCCAAAGCCCCTCCAGCTCCCCTTGCTTTGCTGTTGGTGTCAGGACAGAGATGCTCCTGTGGCCTTTGGCTGGAGTTTTGTTCAGCAACTTTATAAATCTTGGACAGGACCCTCCCTGCTTTTCCTTGATTATTTTCCCTATTTCATCCACATATGGCTTTATTCATGGGCAGAAGCCACTTTTTTAAGTGGCAAAGCTGAGTTTTACCCAGCTGCAATTCCAGAGGGGAGACCAGTATCACTGCCCGAGGAGTCAGACTCCTAGTTGTGGATGCAGCACCACAATTCATTAAACATCAAGTAGCTTTGCAATTAATTAGGAGGCCAAGGCAGCTCTGGGTTCATTTTCAGAGTGTTTTGGAGCAGTATCTGTTCCTGGAGGCTTTATGTGGCTGTCACTGCTGGAAACTGCCCGGCTCCTCTGAATCACCCTGTGCCCCACCCAGCCCCACACCATGGTGTTATTACTGCATTTACTGCTCCCAATTCATTGGCAAACTCATCCTCATCTTTTCCATGGCCTGCTTGGCCAGTCCAGGCTAAAGCTGAACTCCAGGCATGGCTGGGGAGAGCCCCAGAGATAGAGGATGGGGGCAGAGCTGCCTCCTTTCAATTGTGGGATGCTGGAGAGAAAAGCAGGCTTGGGAGAAAAACTAAATCCACTTTTGGCTTGAAAAAAAGCTCCTGGTTTAAGTGGTGGAGTTTTCTGGCACTGACGTTGTAAGCAATGATTTTGTTTGTTTAATCTCGGCACTAATAGGGAACATGTAAACAGAGCTGGGCAGTTACGGCAGCCTCTGTCAGTGAGGGCAAAACTGAGGGGTTTGGGATCAAGTTGAGAGGTTTGGGACCAAACAGGCTTTCCCCACATCCTGCCCCCCACAGCAGCCTGCCCCATGCACCCACCGTGCTCACCCACCCCAGGAGCCAAGCGGGACTCTCGTGGCCGGGCACAGGACATCGCCCGGCTCTGCCCGATACCATCTCCTGAGGAGCTAAAAAAAGCAATACCATCGCTGCAAACTGCACCAGCTTCATTCTACCGAGGAAAAGACAGAAATGCCACTCACCTTCCCGTGCCTGCCGTGCCCCAGGGGGGGCACAGCCATGCTAGAGAGCACGAGCAGCGAGCGCCCGGCTTTTATTGCCCACCGAGCTCCTCAGCCATCCCTGCGGCTCCTCGTTTAACTTCCACATGTTTTCGGAGGGCTGGAATCCTGCCGGCATCTGCAGCCCAGTCCGGTGGCTGCAGAACAGGAAATCCTGTATTTTGTTTCTCTTCTCCCACAAAACGTGTGCAGCTAATGACGTTAAAGCCGCTGGGAAGGCGATGACGTCGTTTGGTCCAAGTGCCGTGGGATGGAGACCATGGATTTCTGCCCCTCTTTCGGCACAGGAGTCGTGGGAGGTGATGGTGCTCTTCCCTCGAGCTGCTCCTGCTCCTGCTCCTCTCCACGGGCACTTGCCATTTGCCTGCTAAAAGCTGTAAAATACAGAAGCACCAACCTTCCAATAAGGGCTCGCTGAAGGAAAACTGAACTCTCTGCCAGTGTAAGTTACTGGAAGGGAGTAATTTTCCTTCATTTTCTTGGAAGCTTGGTTAGCCTCAGACTATCAAGGCTACAGGCTAAAGGGTTTGGACTTTATTCCTGAAATAATAGTATGGTTTAAGGTGGAGATTTCCCCAAAATACCGTTGTATAAAAAAACCTCATAATGTGCATCATTCCCAATTTTTTTCTTTTTGCCTCCTTTAATTCCTTGCCTTTTTATATGCATATATATATATATATAATTTTTAGTTCTTTTACTGCCTGCTGAGCATGACCACCTTTCTGCAATGCTGAGCACTGCAGGCATACACATACTATGCTGTAACTTCTGAGGTGCCTCATTTCCAGTTGGACAGTTTTACCTGATATCCACGGTCACATCTCACAGCCCAGAGCTCTATGGATTATCTGGCTGTTGGCATCTTTCCTTTTCTGGTTCTAGGTAAAGTATAAATAGAACCATTCTTGCTCTATTCATCAATTTTCTGTAACAGGTTCTGTGACCCCTCAAAGTTAACAGGAACAGAGCTGTGGAAGAGAAATGAAAGCAGGAACCTTTAGTTCCCAGTTCAGGGTCTGGGATTGAGGGTGCACCAGAATCCATCAGCTCTGCCACCCACTCAGCTGCCAGATTTCTCTCTGCAAGAAAATCATGGAATCCTGGAATGGTTTGGATTGGGACTTTAAGGACCATCTCATTCCCACCCCCTACCATGGGCAGGGACACCTTCCACCAGCCCAGGTGGCTCCAAGCCCCGTCCAACCTGGCCTTGGCCACTTCCAGGGATGGGGCAGCCACAGCTTCTCTGCCCAACCTGAGCCCCACATCTTGTCATCTCCACTTACAGCTGGTGTCTTTGTGAAGCATTCCCAGATCCCAGCAGGGAGGCTGGCACTGCGCCCAGCCCTCCCCAGCGGTCAGAGGTTAATCCCAAAGCAAAGTGGCTGTTTTATCAGGATATCCTGCCTGGGACATCCTACTTCTGTGTCCCCAGCAGCTCATCCAGCCATCCCTGAGCCCTATTTTTAGCTGGTTGTTTACAGCTGGGGAAGGAGAGGTCGGGGGATGTCGGACTATAGCGAGGGGTTTGTAACCACATCGAGTCCTTCCTCTGCTTCTTGGATTTTTGGAGAACTTTTGGAGAAGATCACAATGTTCCTGGCCATGAAATGCTGATAGATTGACATCAAGCCTCCTCCTTCAACACACGCCACTCAACCTCTCTGTTCTTCTTTCAACCGAGAGCACGTTTTTGTGTAGCTTTGGATTTCTGGCTCATTGCCGACGTCAACGTGCATTTTACACTTGGCAGTGTCCTCCTTTCAAAGGCAGAAGGCACAAAGGAATTTTTAAATAACTGGGAGACTTTCCCTAAGGCCTCCAGATGAAGGTTGTCTCTGCCTGTAGCCTGGTATCCTGTGGGCAGGAGGCCAAATGCAGATGATCAGCACCTCTCAAGCACTCAGCACTGAGAATATCTGACAGGATGCACCTGAAGGATGTATGAAAAACAAGAGGAGGAGGAGGGTTTGTTCACACAAAGCAGCTCACCCTTGTGCACACTTGCTGAGGGTTGAGCTGAGCCATTGGCACGTGGCCCATGGGGCTGGTGAGTCCCCCTCAGCCCTGCACAGTTCTCTCTACAGGGGCAGCATTTTGGGGAAGCTTGGATTTATTTGTGCAGCAAATAATTGTCAATCACTCCCTTACTTTTTGGGCTAAGCCCTTGTCTAATCCACAAACCGGCATTCTTGGTTAAAATGCACCAGCCATCCCCAAAATCTTTTGAATGAAATGAAGCAGTTTTTGGGTTGTTGAGCTGTTATCCTACATTTACAGCATATTTTGGTTTTTCTCTGTGCAGAGAGCGAGTAATTTCATTTAAGGGAAGCAAATGAAGCTGGGGTGTTCACAAGATCCTGCAGCTCAGAACCTGAGGCTGCAGAAAGGCATTAAATCCCACAGGGGTTCTTCCCCAAAACATTTGCTGTCCTGCACAGGAGGGCTCTTTCAAGCAGGAGAGGAGATACCAGACCTCTGATACTGGTTAAAATGGGGTGGCATCACAGAAAACACATTTTCTTTTGCTAACAGATGAATGGCTCGTGTTCTAGAGGAAAAGAACAGGTCATGCTGTGGTTTTGCCCAGGGTTGTGCCATGGGGTCATGCACTGTGTCAGTGCAGGAGGCTTGGAGACCTCACCATGTTTCCACCTTGAGCAGTTCCCTTCAGGATCAATCTGGACACAAAGATCCCCCAGCACCACGAGCCCTTCAGATCCACCCTTCACATTCCTGGCATTGTGCTGTTCCCAACCTTTTGATCTGGTTAAATTCTGCCTCTCTGTTGAAACCCTTTTTTTGTGTCTGCCCAAGAAGGATGAAGATGCCTTTTCATAGCTGGTGAGTCTGGGCAGTGGGACCAGCACAAGAGATAATCCAGGAGCAACATCATGAAATTGTATTTCCTCTTGTCAAAATAATAAACATGTTTTCTGGTCACAGGAAATGGGGTGAATTACGGGAACTGGAGCAGGGCATGTTGTGCCTTTGAATGTTTGAGAGCACTGGCAGATAAACCAGCACCTGCAGCTCAGGTCCTGTGTCAGATCAAGCCCCAAGCAGCCCTGAGGGCACCTGAAATACTGTTCTCCTCAACAGAACTCTGGATTTGTCTGTTCTTCTCTGGAGACACACACTGAGGCCTTGGAGAACCTGAACTAACCTTTGGGTTTCACATCTGGGTTTGTGGAGGCCAAACTGATCATCTTTGCTTTCTTAGGTGCTTTCAGAAAACTCCAAGTTCTCCTTGACCTCTTTTTGCTTCGAGTTGTTGCTCTCTAGGCCAGTTCACCCTCATGACCATCCTGGCTGACTTTCTCTCGTGGTTCAACCCCATCTGGCACCTGAACAGTGTCAGCTCTGCCCCAGCCCAAACCAGGGCACTCTCCCACATACCACAAGAGACCTTCAGAGCAAGTTGTCTGGTCACCTGCACGTCACAGTGACACGACTCGAGTGGCTGGAACTGGGGAGCTTCTAAATTCAATGTGAGTGTGGTAGATTTAAATAAATAAATAAACAAACACTAGTGAGAGTGAAAACCTCTCTGTGGACAAGCAAGAAATCTATAAAAGTTGATGTGCTCCATCATTTGACTACCTTGATCCAAAGAGGAGCTGATGCCACAGAGTTTTCCAGATACCAGTGAAAGCTATGAAATGCAGCTGATGTTTGCAAAACTGTGTTTATTTTTTAAAGCATCAGTTCCTGGGAAGAAAAACACAGAACAAGCTACAGAGTTCCCGTAATGATGCCTTTGACTTGTTTTCACCTGATCAAGGGAGGATCGTACGAGAAAGAAATGACAGGAAACAGCTCCCAGTCACGTGCCAGCCGAGCAAGGTCTATAAAAACCCTCAAAACAACCATCAAAACTAAAGTCTCCTTCACTGACATCATACAGAGTGTAGCTTATGAGAAACTGCTGAATTGAGAACAATTTTATTCTGGTTAACTCTGTACCTGAGCATCAACCCCTTTGTGAAGGGACTACTTGCAGTGTGCAAACATTTCTGGGTGTCAGCAGCATCCCAAACTGCCAGTTACATCACAGAAAACATTTCCATCCAGTGCAGGATCCAGTTCATGCTACTGCAGCCCACAGTCATCTTCTCACACGTGGGAGGAGAACTATGGGAGCTTATTGTGCTTAGTCAGTGTGCCACCACCTTTTAGAGCAGCCCCAGTGAAACGGTTGTTTAAACCTGGCTACTGTTTGCTTTCCCCCATTTGTTTTGTAAAACAGAGAAGTGGGAAAACATAACATACAGAAAATATTTGGGTGAGTTAAAATGTAACTCAGTGGAATTGAGTGGTAAGATTTAAAATACACTTAGCAAGTGTTTCTGGTCGTTCTGCTGGTTTTGTAGCAACATGTAAGATATTTTCTGTTGCAAGACTGCACATTGTACAAATTGTACACATTCTCTTGAAAATATGCAGGCTTTCAAAGGCAACAGATAGGTGCCTGTGTTCAGCCAAATCAACTCCCAGGTATCACAAGGATACCCTGGAAGTTCCACCGTGGGTGGCTTGGCTGAAGAGCTGTCACTAATTTAATGTAAGGGGTAAATGACATCCTCCCTTGTCACTGCTCTGCACAGCTACATAAAAATGTAAACATCAGGATCATGAGAGGAGCTGGCAGAAAAAACCCACAATAATTCATGCACTTAGCCTGTGCTCTGTTAGTGGAATCACCTTGGCAAGAACCTCTTTCTTTTTTAAAAAGCTGCATCAGTTGAACCTGTTGAGCTGAGGTTTTATGGGGCAGATTCACCTCAGGCACCTCTGACCCAAGAAGCCCCACAAAGAAGAGAGTGAGGACCTGAGTGGTACCACCACCATCAATAAATCCACCTGCACGAATGGCAGGACCACCGTGGTCCTGTCCCTCGGGGTCCAAAGGCGAAGAACATGTCCTGATGCCCCCCTTGCCAACAGGGGCAGCTTGGAGAGGGAGAAAGTCACTCGGAGCAAGGGAAGGTGCCACTCTCTGGGGTGCTGGAGGAGACTTGTCTTCCAGGGGGTCTTGCACCAGCTGTAGGTGCAAGTTATAGGATGTGTCAGCAATTAAGGAGCAAACAGAGGTGGGTGAGGAGGAAATGGAGGAGGGGAGTTGGAAGGTGAGTGTGGGAAAGGTGAAGCAGAGGTAGTGAGCAGTGGGATGCACACAAAGCCAGGAGTGGGCTGGAGCCTCCACCTGTCCACAGCCCCAGTTGTCTCTTATGATTACTGGCCATTTTTATGTTCTTATGTGGTTGTCCCAGAGAAGACACTTCAGCAGATGTCAGTGTATGGATGTGGCACTGTCTTTGGCTTCATCCTAGAGCCATGGAGCTGGGAAAATAGAAGAAAAGCCCCTGGGACTTTTCCATCACTTCCTAGCAAAAGCTCTGTCTCTCCCTCCTGTATGTTTTCTAGTCCAGCCAGGCCGGGCGTGGGTGGCCCAGGGGTGGGGAGGGTCACACCAGCTGGGTCGCTCATCAGATCCCAAACACGGTCATAGACAGAGTTTTATCTTCTGTGTATCAAAGATTTTCACTGCCACAAAACTCCCCTGCACTGGCAGGATCTTCCACAATGGAGTTGGTAGTTGAGTATCCCAGAACAGTCCCAGACCTCCTATGAAATACCTGAGTTTTTTTCAGCTGGCTTTCCTGTCACTCCTTAACCGACGAGCCGCTCTCCTTGCTCATGAGCCGGCTCCTGATGGCCATGCTGCTGTGCCTGGATATCTGGTCCTGGAACTCCGAAGTCATGAAGAAATAGATGATGGGATCCAGGCAGCAGTCCAGACTGGCGAGGCTCAAGCAGAAGGGTTGTGTGTAGAGCGTGATGGTGCTCAGGAAGCAGTCGGTGATGACGTTCTCTTTCACCAACATGTAGAAGAAGAAGTTGATGTGGTAGGGGGCAAAACACACGCAGAACACCACGGCACACATGGAAACCATCCGCTGGGCCTTGCGCCTCTCGCCGCTGTTCTCCTGCGGGATGTGGAAGCCCCGGAGGGAGTTCTTTGTCTTCCAGGTGCAGAACAAGATGATGACGAGCGGGCCCACGAAGCCGAAGAGCTCGGCCATGCCCGTCATCAGCACCGTGGCCACGCTGCTTCGGATGGGCCGCACCTGGAGGTCGGCGAAGCAGGTGTGGCTGTTGTTGGCCAGCCCGTAGCCCCTCATGATGGGGAAGGGCAGGCAGGCCACCCCCACGAAGAGCCAGACCACGGCGCTGATGGCCACGTCGTAGCGCCGCTTCCAGTCCTTGGCCTTGAAGGGCTGGTACAGGAAGAAGTAGCGCTGGATGCTGATGCAGGTGAGGAAGCAGATGCTGGCGTACATGTTGAGGTACTTCAGGTAGAAGCACAGCAGGCAGAGGAAGCTCCCAAAAGGCCAGGTGTGGTTGATGTAGTAGTATATTCTCAGGGGCAGTGAGAGCACGTGGGCCAGGTCGGCCACGGCCAGGTTGATCATGAAGATGATGGCTTTGCTCTTCCTGCTGATGAAGCGGCACAGGACCCACAGGGCAGCGCTGTTGGCCAGGAGCCCAGGGATGAAGATGAGGGTGTAGGTGGTGGCGTACAGGGTGGACTTGAACGTGATGTTGTCACTGGAGCAGGACTGGTTGCTCTGGATCATGACTGGGCTGCTGGAAGTGTCTGTGGTGGGGTGGGGCAGGTGGGTCATTCCTGTCAGGAACAAAAATGGGATGTAAAGGCAAAGGCACTGAGAGAGGTGTCAATACTCATGTTTGCCTTTCCTGTTTGACTGTTCAGTGCAAATTAGAGGTTTGGAATTGTTGTCTGTATGAAGCATTCTGCTGCCTTCTTCAGAGCTGCCCTTTTGGAGGTCCCACTGTTCCCACAGAACTGGGAACCATTCCTGGTGTGTCAGTCCCACAAGCACGGGTAAGGCTGTACTATACTGGTCATAGAGCAGCATGAGAAGCTGCCTGTCCTTTTGGCCACCTCCTCGAGGTCACCTGTGGTAAGGTCTCTGGGTATCAGGGGTGAAAGGTGGGCCATAGCCCAACCTCTGTGTGTGAGCAATCACATCGCCTAGTGATCAGAATGTGGGTGACGACCACTGAGTCATGGAACCATGGAATGATTTGGGTTGGAAGGGACCTTAGAGGCCATCTCATTCCAGCTCCCTACCAGGGACAGGGAGACCTTTCACTAGATCAGGTTGCTCCAAGCTCTGTCCAGCTGGCCCTGGACACTTTCAGATCTATGTTGGGTTCTGTTGGGCACAACTGTGTTGGTGAAACACCACATGTTGAACTGTTGGGCCACCTTTGTCTTGTCAGCTTTTGGAACTGGGACCAGTAAGTTGTGTAACTTGTTTTCAGGAAGGCAACACAGGCAGAAGGAGTTTGGTTTTGCCGGGGTTTTCCTGCCAGGGTTATAATTCTCATTACAGTGATTCCCTCCTGTGTTAATATAACGGTTAAAACTGAATATCAGCTTCCTATTTCATGTGGCACTGCAGACACTGATTCACTGCTTCTGACTCATTTCCTGCACCACTGGCAAGGGGCATTTGCCAGAAGAACTGTCTCTGTAGGTACATATTAGTAACTCCTACCCCGTTACTAAGGTTTTTTTCCTTCATGCTTCAGAAAAAAGGGTTGAGTTTGGAGCTCTCAGTGGCACAGAACACCAGTAGCTGTTTTTTCAGGTTGTTAATCGTTGAGGTGCTTGGATTTGGCAGCTCATACAGACACTGCTCCAGGCTGCCATGGAAGGGTTTGGATTCAGGCCCCAGAAAGCCCAGAGATGTCAAGGTCCCCGTGGGACACAGCCACCCTCACCACGGGTGCCCTGGCTCTGGCTGATACCAACAGTGACACTGCTCCTGTGGGCTCCCCAGACAGATTCTTGCTTTTTTTTTTCAGCCTCTCTTTCATGCCTTCAAAAAGCAAGGTCTGCATTTTTATCTCCTGCACCTTCAGCTGCACCAAACATCACAGAAGTGCTGCAGTTGAGAAACTCTCTGTCTAGTCCCCTTCCTCCTCCAAGATGGCACAGCTGCTGGAGGCCTCAGAGCTGGTTTTATCCCTCCAGTTCATTCCCAACAACCCTCTCCACAAGGCAGCTCTGGGACAAGATGATCATGCTCCCCAGCTGCCCCATCCCAGGACACCACAGCCTTGCTCCTCTCACAACACCATAACAGGCCCATGAAGAGGGAAGAGGCTCAAATGGTGCTGGAAACATGGTGGAAAGATGCAGCTGGCTCATGGATTTGTCTCCACCAGTCTGAGAAGCAACACTGGAGGCCTCCCACTCTCTGTCCTGGTGTTCAGGACGCCGAGACAGGGAGTGGCAGGGCATGGAGCTGAGCACTGGGGTGTTCCCTCAGGCTGTTGCTTCTCAGAATGGTAAAAGTGGGTTACATCCCATTTCCTGGCAGTGCTGGGAATTTCTGGGGCTCGGGATGTTTCATTTCCATCTGGTTTTGCAGCTCCAGCTGGACGGGGCCATCTACTGCCCTTGTCTCTGGTAAGAGCACTGCTCTCCACACCCAGTTACTGTCCCTTCAGGTGATCTCCCACTTTGCTAAGAAGCCATTAAAGAGCCATTTTCAGTGTCATTTTTTGCCTGGTTTCCCTTGGATGTCGAGCTGTAACTGACTGCCTGGTGCTCCTCCAAACCCAACCGCTCGCTGGCCACTGAAACCACGGAGGATTAGGACATTTGCAAAATGCTGTATTTTAAGGCCAGGTTTATATTTAAATGCTGGCCATGGGTGCATGTTCTTCACTCCAGTGAGTCACATCAGCCAGTTGCTCACTGAGGTCCTCAGCTACAGTTAGTCCTTATTTACATCCCGTGTGACCAGAGCGCAGCGCCAGCGATCGGGGGGTTGGTGCTGACTCAAACTGGGCTCTGAACGGGCTGTTTGGGGTAAACCAGCGTGTCCAGGATGTGTCTCTGTGACACGAGGATGACACTAGAGCTCAGCCATCACTCTCTGCTGGCAGCAAACCATGCCCAGGCACAGGGAGCAGCCTAGGGCTGAGCACACCCCACAGCGTGGGGAGGCTCCCCCTCATCCATCACCTCCTTCTGCTAATTGTCCACAAGGTGTCAGAGTTAATCAAGATTTCATTTCTTTGTCCTCTTTAAGCTACACTTCTAACCCCCAAGTGCTGTCTGAGTGGCAGAGGTGGCAGTGTGAGTGTTGTTATCTTCTAGAGTGACACCAAATTGAAAACGTCTTGTGTTGCTGAATAGCTGATATTAGGGGGAAAATGCTCCCAGGAGTGGTCCCGTTGCTGGTGTCATCTCTGCTGTTGATCTCACAGGTCTTTTCCAACCTAAACGATTCAATGATTCTATTTACAGGTAGAAGAGCCCTGGAAAGCTGCACTTTGATGGAGACCGTGGAGCTGAGGTGAACCTTGGAGCCGAGAGGTTACAAAACCCACCCCGTGGGAATGCAGGTGATGTCCCAGCCCCACCACTCCAAGCAAATATAACATAGGGACTGTGAACAGGAGAGGGATTTCCCTGGAGTCAGAATATCCCTCTGTGCATTCAGGGAACTCGGGGGCAGGCACTGAAGGGAAGGGGCTGAGCAGGGTGACCTGGCTGGCAGAGCTAAGGCATTAACACAATTAGTGCACACAGGGGTGGTGTCTGCTGGCTCATCAGCCTGAGCATGAATGACTTCACTACAAAGCCATAAAAATATAACCAGATTAAACCATCTCTTTAGACAAAATGTTCCCAGACATATGCACAGGGGACCACAAAATTACTGCATTTCTGTCCTTCCTCCCACTTCTGCTGAGACTGAAGTTCAATCCTACACCATGCCCTTATCCTCCCACCTCTGCACAAAAGCAGACACACAGAAATACCACTCAGTGCCTTCAAATGAGGTTTCCAGAGCAGTCAAGAAAGCAAAGTCCTTCTCTGCATGATGTGTGTGTGCAGCAAAGGCTGTAGAAGGCTGAGAAGTTCCATCAGATTTTATCAGTGCTGATTTACATGTTGCAGAGACAGCTCCTACTGCAACAGTGCCCTCAGAATATGAAATTTAAAAAAAAAATTGGTGATAAACAAATACACTGTGATCTAACTACTACTTTTTACATTTTTGTTAGTCTGTATTTCTGAGGCTGTTGCAAAAAGGACACAATAAGTGTGCATGTTATTGCTGGATCTTTGGAAAATAACCATGGCATTTCTAGGAAAAATGTGTTCCTTGGAAAGGATTGAGAAGCACAGGAATGTCGTTCCAGAGTGCTGGATCTTTCTGAGATGGCCATGAGCAGAGGGGTTGATGGATTTGATGAGGACACAAATGTCTCTGCCCTCCCAGCAGGGCTGTGACTGACCCACTGCACTTGCAACGAGGCGAAACCTCTGCCCTCGGAGTGGAACATTCAGCAGTTAAAGGGACTTTTTCTTCACAGAAAAAGAGCAGATCTGGGTTTTCTGAGAAATTTTCATTTTGCAACACCGGTGCAACTCTCCCTCCTGCAGCAGCAGCTGCAGCTCCTCCCAGGCTGGGCAAGGGCTGTCCCATGCAGGATTTGCATCGTGGGTGTAATTCCCGTGGCTGGGAATGTTGGAACTGGAGCCAAAGTCCCAGCACTTTCACTTGACACTAAAAAACATGTCCTAGAACAAAAATCCCTCTTTCCCTGCACGGCTCCTGCTCCAGCCTGCTGAGGAACCCTCTCCTGCAGTCTGACATCCTGACTCCCATTCCATGGGATTCCCTCTCCATTCACTTGAAGAAATGTCACACTCAGGGGCCACCCACCACGAATCCTGTCTGTGAGCACCAAACCCACACGTGCTGCTTTGCTGGGCTCCTGGCAGAGCTGAGCTGCTGGTGCAAGTGAAAGCAAAAACTGCAAAAAAACCACCTTCTACAAATTACAGCTTAAAACTTCAGTCCGTTAAGTTTTAATCCAGAGCAGTGACTGCAGTTTGAATTATGAATTAAAACCACCTCAGGATTCTCATTAACAAATGCCTGTCCAAGCAATCTTGCTATTTTTGTCATATTGTGTCCCCTGACTATTAATAATTTCCTCCTGCTGCAGCTCAGTCACAGAGGGTTGGGTGGCACAAAACAGGCAGCCTGTAGGTTTTTTTATGGCAATACAAATCACCATTGGAAAAAAAAAGATTTGCAAGCTGCTCTTATTGCAGAGAATGACTTTTAAATACAATATATTCCCCGAGAAATCAGGCAAGAGAAGGAAATTGTAACTGTGCCTATTAATGATGCTGGAGGAGAGTTGGAGCACCTCTAATTGCCCACGCTTAACATTTTGCTTTCTCCAGCGCCAGCAGCCGCTGTTTCAACTTCTCCATGTGTTCACACAGAGGGTTGGCACACCAGGACAGCGGCTGCTGATGTTGCAAGACTCAAAGTGCCACTAATCTGCTCCTGTCAAGAGCCAGTCCCCAAGGAAAAGCCCGAGGAGAGGGAGGATTTTGCAGGGAGCAGCAGGGGCGCATTGAGGTGGTTCTAGATCCAAGGAAAGAGTTTAAAAGCAGCCTTACCTTGCAGGCAGAGCCCAGCTCAGCGCAGCCCGGCTCAGGAGGAAGTGCCGAGTCCCTCAGCCCCACTGCAGCCCTGTTTACACGGGCACGGGGACCTGGGTGACATCACGGTGCCACAAGGTGCTGCTTTGCCTGCGGGCGGTGCTGGGGCTGCTG